TGCAAACTCCCATATTTTCATGTTTGCAAATAGTTTGACATCAAGACCACGAAGGTTATATGGCAGCCATGAATTTCAATATGGCCATCCTAAAATACTGATCTGACTTGAAAATCACCTCTTGTCTCTCAACTTTCTGTCAGACACTGATAATATGAACTTTCACACTGAACTCCTACAAGATCGCAACCAGGAACTAGATGTATATACAATGTAGTTACCTGTGAGAAGTAGTTCTCTCCTCCATAGCTGACGCATCACTCACTCAAATTTATGAAATTTGTCTTTGTTGTGAAGGAGTTATGATTTCATGAATAAGATCACTAAGAGACTGCGAACAGTCTATCAAACTTCTATCTCGTTCCAAACTCGAAAAATTCAAGAAAAATTTGATGGATATGGTGGCCATTTTGAGTTTCAAGATGGCAGCTACCAGGGGGCACCAATTTTTGGGGTCCTCTTCTTAAATTGACCCCAAGGTCTCAAAGAAACTCTGTGCCAAGTTTCATGCTTTCTTCAAAAAGTGAACAATTCTTTTACTATTTTGATCTTAGCCGCTGGACTATTGGCCAATTGCGCGCTACTTCTGAAAAAGCTGCCCACCACTACTGGCTGGTACAACCTTGACCCGCGCCGTGATAGTCACTTCTGCTACGCAATGCGATGCTTTAACCGAATGAGCCATCCGGCAGCTCTCTTTTAATTTCTGACTGTTTACCTCTCACAGGATTCCATTTGAGATTATATGGGGAAGTTAAGCCATTTAAATTTCTCTGAAAACAGAGTGTTACGACATTAGCAAAGTGTGTCTAAACTTTTGACTGGTACTGTATGTAGTCAGTAACTATTAATTATGTGTTGTCAGAGGTAGCAGCTGAAGAATATTGATGATTGATTGGTCACCTGGCAAAATGTTCCTCCAGGTAAGAGTGGAAGTGCTGCAGCTCCAAGCGGTGGCGCAGCACAGTGCCCAAACGGTAGCGTCGGAACTGTTCTGGGACCTGTACCCATGAGTCAGGCTCACTGGGGGCCTCTGCTGGTGGAGGCGGGGGCTTGCGCTCAGGTGCACTCTGAAAATACAGGGGACAGTAAATCAAGAGTGCTGTACAGTTCAGTGCTGGGGTTTTCAGACTGTGAACTTCCTGCAAAAAATATGGCTTTTAGTATAATCTGGGGCTGGCACAGGGAAAATTTATATGAGTCAACTGTTAAGAAAATCACTGGAGAAGACCCAAAATTATTAAATTATTAGTTATTAAATTATAATTACTTCTTTTGAAATGACCCATCACAGGAGTAATAATTGTGCCTTGCTTCAAATGACTGCACTTGGATGAATGTGCTGCCAATCATACGAGCCACCAAAAAAGCAACTGTGCCGTAGAAACAAAATCTAAGAAAAGGTTTGAACCCAGGGGCTGATATATCGAAGGTAGAGAGATCTTCTAGGTTAAAATTGTTTAAATTGTTTTTAAAAAGACAGTTGGTTCCTAAGTTGTCTTTAAAAAGAAAGAATCTGTAATGCACTAATGAGTCAGCTCATTGCCTTAAACTTAAACCTGTGCTTTTGGCAAAAAGATTTTTTAGTACACTTGCAGTTTATAAGAAAGTAGTATTCCTCAGTAGATATTCTGAGAAACGCAACATTAAGTCATTGAAAGTAAAATTGTTTATATCCCTCTATCTATTATCTAACCTGATTTCTGGTTAAAGTCTCAGAGGGGCTGGAGCCTGTCCTGGTACAAAATGGGCAATAGGGATGAGCACTGCTTGGATAGTTTTCCAAACCACCACAGGCATCACCTACCTTTGGACAAGTTAGAGTCAGCAATTCACGTGACATACATGTCTTAGGACTGTGGGGGAAAACCAGAGTACTTGGGGAAAACTCAATGCTGAAAAGGCCCCAGGCCATCTAGCGGCAAGGTGACAGTTCTGCCCACTCCACTGCGCCTACCTTATGTGTGTAATACAGTACATGAAGCAAGGGCAATACTTTGGGTTGAACATTGGGGGGGTTGAAGTGCCCCAGTCATTATAATATGATAGTGGGGCGGGGGGTTGTAGTGGCTGGTCTGAATTATTGGGGGCCCATAAATTACGCCTATGACATGTAGAAATACTATCATGCACTGCAGCCAGGACTTGCAGTAAGTTCCTGCCATATGGATAAAGTACACTTCCATATTAGGCATTATTTCTGTTTTTCCAAGCATACGAGAACACATGAAGCTAACGTATTCAACTTTCTTATGTGATTTTAAAACTGTATGTTTTATATGTTATTTATATTGTATTGTTTTATGTTGGCATTGTATTGGCTGCTATCTTGGCCAGGTCTCTCTTGCAAAAGAGATTTCGCATCTCAGTGAGACTTCCTAGTTAAATAAAGGTAAATAAATAATGAAGGTCACAAAGTTGTTCTTGCTGAATTTGACCAGTCAAAGTTAAGTCATTAGTGGCCACCCATACTTCACCTTTCCCTCAGCACTATGCGCATGCACTGTGGAGCTCTCTGATGTTACCTGGTTCAGTCTCCGCATTAACTTCCTGTACAGGACCTTCAACTTCCTGTAGAGTGCTGTATTTATGTGACGACTCTCCTCCCACAGCTCCACCTGAGGACACAGAACACACTGGCTGCCTTTGTGCTGCTACACATTCAAGCGGCTGCTGCACCTTCTCTATGTGACGGACATGCAACACGAATCATTTATGAACAATTTTGCCTTAACCAGATTCGAATTCCCAATCAATGTGCCACAAACCAGCGGCCATGTAAGTTTTCAGCAAACAAGAATATACTTCTCCTATAATTTCTTTCGATTTTGTATCTTGAAGTCGGCTTGTTCCAAGATCAGTGAAATGTTTTCAAAGCCAAATTGAACACAGTGCAAAGTTCAAACAAGGTCACAGAAGCCGATATATTAGGGATCATCAAACCACGGTCCTCAATGGCTGAGAACTGCTGATTTTCCACCCTCCCTTCATGAGTGAGTCAGGTGTGAAGACAGTGTGGCCAATAGGAAGCCGTCACAGTGAAGCTGACAAGTGAATTACCCAGGAGAAAACAACACCAGGGCTGGATTCAAATTCAATGGCATGATTTGGCTATTTCTGCCATATATCATCCAGCGGAGGTTTGATGTGGATGGATTTTGATAGGGGGCACTTGACACACACCTTCTCAAAGGTAGCCCTGTCCCGCGCATTCATCAGAGTCCAGGGCTGAAAGAGCAGAGTCAGAACGTGTTCCTCCACCGCATCAAATAGTTCCTCAAAGGGTGGAGTCAAACAGGCCTGAACCTGCCGTCTGCTGTCTTCATCCACTCCAAAAGTCATCCTCGCGCTTGGACTCAGGTACACAGAGTACAGGCGCTGAGCAGGGACAATAGATACAAAACTATAAGACTTGAGTGCTAAGCTGCCCAATGCACAAAGGCTGCTTTTAAGAGATAGTTTCCCCATTATGTTTGATCAATTATGCTGTTATTTCCGCAATGCGGTTTCTCTAAAGAGGGGAACTGCACAGTTTTTATAAATCGTTTCTAATGAAAGTCTGCACAGGTTCTAGCTAGGTTTAGCCCATATTTAATTTTAGGTGCAGAGAATTCACCTCCCACCTCCCATTAGCTCCCTGCCAGCATGTGACAATGGTTCACCAGGGGCAGGAACAGGCCGCGAGTATATCAAAGAACCATCTTCCCGTGGGATGTGTGGACTGGCTTCACATCTGAGAAGCACTTTGGTCAGGCTCTTAAAATGGGTGCGCGCTCCTGCGGCTGATGAAGTCCCTGCCCCTCTCTGCTCACCTGAGCCTGCTGTTGTACTCTGTAAGGGTCCAGCCCATCTTGGTAGAATAGCTGATGGTAATCCTGCAGGTCAGTCCAGAAGTGGATGCTGTTTGCCCACATCTGTGAAGGACAGAGCATACTGCTGTTACCAGGGCCAGAGGTGTAGAGCTTTGGTAGCGGCTGAAAATGTATTTTTATTCCATTTGTTCAATTAGAATTTTCCACACTCTTTCCCATAACAGCAATCAGCCCCATCACTGATCAACTTATTTTTGCTGGCATATTAGGCTTATCCGTAGTTTAAAATTTAGCTAATTTAAACTAGTGCACAAACACTGTAGCGGTTCATAGCTGAAACAAGGTGACAATACACACCACTGTGAATATTACTAAAACGACTATGTACGCTGGTACATGGTTTGAGTGTTATGTGGTGCATTGGTACATGGTTTGAGTGTTATGTGGTACGGTGGTATACGGTTTGAGTGTTATTTGGTATGGTGGTATCTGGTTTGAGTGTTATGTGGCACGGTGGTATCTGGATTGCGTGTTTTGCTGTATAATTGTACCTGGTTGCCAGAGCTTTCACAGAAATAGGTGAAGCAAAGGCCAGATCTCATCTCTGACTGCAAAGCCTGTAGCATTCTCTCCATCCTCCTGCCTCCGAGGAATGGACTGTAGCTGCCATTAGACTGAGACCAATGAACACACACAGCACAAACAGGACACGCACATGACTATGCAGATATAGTATAACACCCAAACACTTGCATTGAAACACTTTATTATTCAGACACATTGACCCACGGGCATACCATTGCATATTAACCCTTATGAAATCACATGAAACACTGCAAAGAAGTACACTTTCCAAATCCAAGAATGTCATACAGGAAATACATGTTCATACATTCACACATACTCAAAGACACTTTATCAGATATATGTACTGAAAGACTGTATTTTCCTCAACAGAGGATTTTCCATTTGGCACACTGTACATTAAGCAAGAAGGAACACTAGCCATATATTCTTCATGGACATCTTGACCTTGATGTGCATTATGCACAGACAATAATCAATATTTATTTTTAAAATTAGAAATAGTCATGAAGAGTATATTTCAGCAGGAGTTGCCTGTGCCACTAGTGCTCATGTACAACTGCAATTCCAAAAAGTTGGCACTTCATTAAAAATGCAAAAAGCAGCACAATGGCACAGCGGTCAGTACTCCTGCCTCGCAATAAGGAGGTTCCGGGTTCGAGCCCTGGCTGTCCAGGGCCTCTCAGTGTGGAGTTTGCATGTTCTCCCCGTGTTTGCATGGGTTTCCTCCAGGTACTCTGGTTTCCCCCACCCAGAATAACATGCGCTATTAGGGAAACTCATACCAGTGTTGCTGACGAAGGCTCTGGCTTCAGAACTGGAGTTGGTCCCTGGGTGCTGCCCACTGCTCTCAACTATAGGATGGATCAAATGCAGAGGACAAATTCCCTCACAGTGGTCAATAAAGTATATCCTAAATAACATAATAAATTCCACTCACTCTCTTCATATATTGAAAATAGCACAACACAGTTCCTTGAATCTTTAAATAATGATATAATGAGGACGAAATACATGATTTCCTAAGGTGAACGTGTGGATTTAGCTGAAAATAAGTTCTTGATTGCTGCTGTAATTTTGAATGTGTAGTTCCACTGAAACAAAGTCTTTGTTATTCAGTTCACTAATTGCGTTGTGGGTTGTTGTGGTATTGTTTGCTCTGTTATATGAGTAGTAATTTTGTTTTGCCATTTATTTATCCATTTTTCCAATTACGTAATGAAGCAGTACCATTTTTTAAATCAACGGAGAGTTTTTAAAATATCTTCAGAGATGCAATGTTCCTTTGCTACTGGTAGTGTAATATGTTGAATAAATTCTCTGACGAACATGCAACAGCCTTGTCCGGATGAGATGTTCAGGGTAAGACAAGGGAATTACCATTTGACGGCAGTATTATTATGTATTATTTTATTATGGAGCATTACTCAGGCCATATATTATAGTTTTACGTTGTTTATCCATTCCACATTCCTGCTTTGTTAGGCACTGATATTCTTTGTTTGTTAATCACTCCAAAAAACAGTGTCTGTTGAATAAAAGTATGATAATAAATTCCAGATATTTTAAATGACCAATGAATTTTCATAAGATCTTGAGGCGTGTCCAAAAACATCTGAATGTCAACTTACCGTCATCTTTGTATCGAGGGGTGCTGCCCTCGCATTGAATGACAGAGAGAGAGATTTGCTTTTGAGGGACAATTTTTTGTTAGTTGTTGGGGCCCTGGTCATTGGAGGGCAGTGCATTGTGGGAAAATCTCCTGTGGAACTAGGATACGGCTTCTCCCAGAGTGGCTTCAGGCAGCTGCTGGCTGCTCCCTGTGTGTGGGGCCTGAGTGACGCTTGCTTAGAGGTGGCACATCTCTCAAATTCTGACGTAGACTCCAGTTCCTGGCCAAGAGAGAGACAGAACAACCATTGCTGTCAACTACAGACAGAAATTTATGCTCTTTCATGAGAAATTCAAATTATTTCTCCTATATGTATTTTATTGCTATGCTTCATTGCTGCCCAAATATTGTTACACTAAAATTGTTTGACAGTCTAAAACAATTGTTTGTTTCACTGGTGAAAATAATTCTTAAGACACCCACAGAAGCTACCCCTGGAGTATTCGTGCACAAATTTGACTATTATGCTCAAAAAATTACAGATTGAATCTACATAAAATTTTCATGACAATGGCATTCCAAGCAGCTGTGTTAAAGGGGTAATTTGCCATTAATTAAGCCATACATAATTTCAATGAGTACGCTCTGCATAAATGAGTCGCTCACAAACTATGGATATTTTCCCGCAGCAGTTCAAGATATTTGCAAATCTATTATCCCCATGGCTTCCCAATGCATTTGCGGTAAAGATAATAATAATAAATACCACAATGCATTGCACTTCCTCACCACACCAGACTTCCCTTCAACCTCATGTGGATCTAACATACAGTTGTCAGAGATGGCATTGCATTTGAGCACCGTTCACTTTGCTGCAAAGGGGACTGGTCGTGATGATAATGCCGACAGTTTGATCTGTACCCCAGGGGCACGGGTTACAAAAAGCTGAGGCAACAGGGGTGATTTTTTCACTTTGTACCTGCAAACACAACTACAAGCCATAGAATAGAAACCGGCCATTGCAAACACAAGATATAAAGTAGATGTGCTTGCAAATAAGTATACGAGTGTAAGTGTTTGCAATGAAAATTTTCATCTAAAGGACTACGAGAGAGATTCACAAACGGAGGTAGTGGGTTATCCTGAATTCTGAACAATGCGGCCATACTGTCAATTTTCTGGTCCAAGCAATTACCAGTAATCAAGACTCACTGTCGCCCTCAAAACCCCTGCTGGAAAAGAGAGGATGACCATCGATGTCCCAGGTGAGTGAGCAAGCCAGGTAGTTGTTTTCATATGTCAATGCTATGATCTGGCAAAAAATCACATGACTGGCAAAATTTTCCACTTGCTGGCTAGCTCCAGCCAATTCACATCCGAACTGTGATCTAATGTTATTTGACAGAAATTAAGCTGACCATGCCAAAACTGTACAATTATATGACCCAAATAGCTGGCCAAATTTTCAGCTGGTTAGCTTGCTTCATTACGCAGTACAACTGCAAGCCGAGAAAAGCCTTTGCTAGCTGATTGAAAGGTAACGTTATAGAGGACACTTTATCCAATTATTTTTCCGCGAAATGTATCGTCGTCCGTAACATCCTTTGCTCTCTGCATTATTTTGGGGTGCCAATTCTGCTGTTGGAAACGGAGCTAGTTTGCAATAAAAGTGAAGACAAGTTTCATTTCTGAGCGGCATCCTCAGGATGCACCCAGGATACCCAGCGGCGGAGTCAAGAAATCCAAGCTAAACTAGCCTGCTGTTCTTTCATTCCTCCATGTACATCACTTTATGCATCAAATGACAGCACTGGAGGGGAAATAGATCAGATTTTGCAACTGATTTCCAGCGATCTACAGGAAATTTGCAAAATCTGTAATTGTTTTTCGCACCATATCCCTAACTTGGATAGATAGAGATAAGGTTGAAAATCGGCAAAGTGTCCCTTTGAGTAACCTCCAATACTGTGTCCCCTTGGATCATAGCAGGCAATGGCAAACCAAAAGTCATCACACTGGACAACAGCACAACATTTGCAAAGGGCAGAAAAACACAATGGACCCCAATTTGACAACCTAAACGCTGTCAGCAAACAAGTGCTAATGGTATTGCAGATCAAAACTAGGTGTGTCAAACTCCATCTTGGTGATGGCGCAATTGTGGAAATGTTGTCAAAAGTGTTAGACAGAGACTTATTAATTACCACTATGATGAGGCTTTCCATATTTACAGTCATGCTGAAAAAGTACACAAATAAAAAAACTATACTTGTTTCACAGCCCAAAACCATACATCTTTGCGCCCACTCTGCTTTACTCCCATTGGTAGTCGCAAAGCAAAATCGCTCGTCAGTTGCATGAAGTTAAACTTTGCTCAACTTCATTGCATCGTTGGCCCCACCCACTATTGGACACCAACTATTAACGCTTCCAGTCACCGTGATTCCCTCAACTCTCACTGAAAATGAATGGTATCCTGTCGTTTTCGTCGCTGGATGTAAGACGTCACTGAAATATGAAAGCCCCTTAACTCAGTTTAGGGGAACAATGATATAACGTGAAGAGAAAAATCCAACATCTCAGTTCTTTCTGTTTAAGTGAGCAGCGCACCTGCAGATTGTTGGACAGGGTGAGCCGGGGGATGCAGGAGGCTGGGCGGAGGGGCAGTAGAGTTACAGTGCGGGGGCTGGGGTCAATGCCAGCGGGAGGCCGCAGCTGCCGATCCCGCCAGAGCTTCAAACGGGCTACAGCAACCTCCTCACTCTGGGCCGTGCAGAACCGTGGCCACCTTCGGAATAACGCACGAGTGACCTCGTGTGCTGCACCATAATTGTCAGCATGGTCATCAACATTATCATCAGTATCATCCAGTCTACACAAAGGCAGTTAGACACATTAGACACTGCCTCAATGCAGTCCGTGTGATTTTTGTAATCAGCTACATGAGTTATCATCATAACTTTCTGGATTATATCTGCATTATATTACATCTTTGTGTTTTGTCCCATTGGTATTTGTAATAGAAGCAGCCTGTTCCACTCACCAGTAGAGGAGAAGCACCTCTGTGATGCGTGGCTGGGCAACTTTCAGTTTATCTTCCATCCAGCAGGGGATGCTGGCCAGACCCAACCTGGACAGAACTTCTACACTTAGAGCACATCGTCCGCTGCTCAGCAAGTACTGCCTCCTCATCCGTATAAGCAGCCTAGGCCAGTAAGACAGCACATATATAGCCAAATAATAAGATTCAAATCATGAAAGTCATAGTCTATGAGTTTTAAGTGCGCCCTTTAATTACCAATGCATTCAAACTTATCTTACTGGCTTCAAATAAACCAAGCCAAACACAGTTCAAGAGGATTCATAGACTATGAAGTTATATAAGACATGTCCCCAAAACACAATCGGCATTTTGAAAGTTCTACAAGATGAGGACCATAAGCATTGCTTTCAATCTGAGGGCTCAAAATGATCTGATATTTTACAGCACTGAGGGCAAAATGCTCGCATCACATTTATGCTTTATCACATCTTAAAGCTAAACTAATTAGGTCTTGACCAATGTGGTTGTAAAAGAAAATGATTGAAAGCACTCATTTCTTTTGAGGGGAGTATCTACCGGTTTTTGCTGCTCTGAAGAGTTTGCAGACGCTCGATGTCCATCCAGAGGTGATACAGCTTCTCCCCAGGAGTTCCCTGTAAAAAGCTCCTAAAATCTTGGAGGCCCTTTTTGGTGTGAAGGACACCACGCAGACCCAAGTCATCATCAGTCGCCTCTGTCTCATCTTCCAGCTCTGATCCCTCGCTGTCCTTCCCTTTCTCGGCGTACTCGTTCGCTGGTTGCCCATTGATGAGGGCTTCTGTGTGAGACCCTGCCTCCTCTTGAGCAGTTGGTGGGCCCATCTTCAATTCTGAAACTGCATTCTCCAGCACCTGCGCCACCACTGAGCGAGCAACATCTTCTAAAGTGCACACAGTGAGGGTCTGGGGTGCTGACATACTGCGTTGCGGTCCTGCAAACTTGGTCTCCGTAATGTAGACTCTTGTGCCCTCAAGAGCGCGCT